GAGACTTTCCCAGACTGCAGTCATCCCCCCATCAAACTACCATCTCCCAGCTGTCACTCTTACTCCTTTGGCTCTTAATATTCAACTGCCTGTAATTTTCCCCTCTACGAGTGAAAATTGTGAACTCTAAGAGGGAGGCACCTTGTGGTACCACTTCTCCATAACCCCCAGGATGCTCTGGCTCAGGGCTCCGCCCATCAATATTTGTCAAATTGAACTTTCCACTGTTCGCACTACTTCTGTGCTCACCACACAGTGACTGAGTCATCAGCATCCTCCCTGGTCCCATTATGGTGGCCCCTGGGGTCAGACAATGGGCATTTGAACCTCAGCTCTTGGGTCAGCTCTGAACCTTGGACGAGTCCCTTCCTCGTTTGTAAAATACAACACGAATATCTGACTCAGGGCGTTGTCGTGGGGATTAAATTATGTCCAGCAATGTCTGGCAGAGAGGAAGAGGTCAGTAAATGTGGGCCTTGGAGACAGGATGTGGCTGTATGTCCTCCATCACCAAAGAGCTGCATGGGATCCTGCGACTCATGTCTCTTAGATCATGCCTTGGAATTTACAGATGACACATGATGCGAGAAATGTAGATCAAAAGTGATCTGGGGGGGCTTCCCTGGTGGCGCAGTGGTTGAGAGTCCGACTGCCAATGCAGGGGACACGGGTTCGTGCCCCGGTCCAGAAGATCCCACGTGCCGCGGAGCGGCTGGGTCCGTGAGCCATGGCCGCTGAGCCTGCGCGTCCGGAGCCTGTGCTCCGCAACGGGAGAGGCCGCAGCAGTGAGAGGCCCGCGTACCGCAAAAAAAAAGAAGTGATCTGGGTTCCACAAAAGAGGAAGTAGGGTGACCCCACCAATTTGCGATGATAGCTCATTCACGCGGCATGAAAATCCCTTTGGAGCTCACACAGCCTGCCACCCAGAGCCCCCCCGCTTCTCCTTCCCGTTTATTGAGCAATGGGGGCTCCATTTGGGATAAAGGGATAAAAGCCTCTAGTGTCGTGGCTGGGGAAGCAACCTTTGTAGGGGGGGAGGCGAATTCCCAATTCTCAGGGGGGCCGCATGGTTGGTAGAAGCAGCATGGGATTTGTGTCCTGGCTCAGCCGCTCACTGGCTTTGTGCCCTGGACAAGTTTCCTCACCTCTCTGGACCTCAGTTTCATGGTCTCTAAAATAGGGATAATGGGATGTGCTGTGTGTCATCTGAGCTGATGTTGTTCCGCAGCTAAATTGGAAAGCAGACTTGCAGCTCTGGCCGCCCACGCGGAGATCTGAGATTAACTGGGGCAAAGGGCTGATGAGGTGGAGAGCCAAGGCCAGAGGAATTTATGGCAGCCCAAGGTTTATGGTTTTGATATGGATTTATTAAGCACACTCTAGGACTGCAATAGCCTCCTCTGGCCCCCACCCCATGACCATGCTGGCAGCGGCATGGACGAGGCTTCTGTTGCAATATTATAGAGATTATTTCCTGGTGCTCGGGAGTGGAGGGAAGGCACAGGGGATGGTGGGAGTGGCCCCCGGGATCAGGCAGGCAGCGAATGGGTGCCTCTGAGGCTGGAAATCTCAATGGTTAGCTTCTCACTAGTCAGGGGGTGGTGAAGAGTCCACACTCACAACGTCCCCTGGGGTGGGCACTCTCTGTGCACCTCATATACACGGCAGCTCTCGTAGCTGCTATGATCTCCTTCAAGTCCATCCTGACAACACCCCTGGAGGGAGGGATCGGGGGCTTCCCTGGTGGCGCAGTGGTTAAGAATCCACCTGCCAATGCAGGGGACACGGGTTCGAGCCCTGGTCCGGGGAGATCCCACATGCCACAGAGCAACTAGGCCCGTAAGCCACAACTACTGAGCCCGTGTGCCACAAGTACTGAAGCCTGCACGCCTAGAGCCCGTGCTCTGCAACAAGAGAAGCCACCGCAATGAGAAGCCCACGCACCGCAACAAAGAGTAGCCCCTGCTCGCCGCAGCTAGAGAAAGCCCGCGTGCAGCAACAAAGACCCAACGCAGCCAGTAAATAAATTAATTAATTAAAAAAAAAAGAACTACCCGACTATCCTCATTCTTATTTCTAACACCTGAAAGGAAGAAAAGACACCCATCCAAGGACTTAGAAAACATATGCGCCATTTATTTTCTTTTATAAACTTTTGTTAAAACACACAAGAGTAAGAAATCTTTTTTGCTTCTTTGCCCCATTGGGTGGCAGTGACAGGGGCTCAGGGGACAGCACAGGACCCAATGGCATCCACACCCACTGGAAGATGCTCATCAGTCTGGCGGGACACAGCCCACTTCCAGAAATGCTCGATGTAAATTTCAAAATTCGTCACAATCAAGGCAAATCACAGAGCGACTTGGCAAAAGTAATTGGCTTGGTCATCACAAGAAATCGAGGAGCGTCCATTTCCGACGGTCTGCTCCCCTTTGTCCACCCTCAGGAGAGCCATGTGGGTTCTCGAAGCTGCTGAGAGCTGCCTAGAGAAGGGATTGGCTCAGTGGAGGAATTACAGGGTCTGTGCCTGCCCTCCCAACCCTCTTTTAGTCCATTAGATCTTATGTTTTAGGACCACGACTCAGGTAGTGAAGAAAAAAAAAAGAGATCTTCCAATGTGGTGTCGTGTCCTCAGTTCAGAGTCAGAAAACTAAATTCTCTTTGTTTTGTGTTTCCTGCGTTGCAATAACATTATTAAAGTAGAATGGATTTCTCCTCCAGGGAGGTTGATTTGGGACCGAGAACTAGCCCCCTGGCCCAGAAGATTGTTACTGTTAAAAGCCAATGTTACCCAACCCCACCCATGGGAAATTCTTATCTCAGCTTTGCTCCCATGACGGATAGAGGCCTGGGCAACATTGGGGTCGGCGGGGGTGGAGGGACAAAGAGGGGGAATGACAATTACCAAAAATGATTCCAGTTTCCCTACCTTGCCCCAGACTAGTCTGAGCGCCCTGGCTGGGGTTTCTGGGGAAGCGCCCCAGGAATAAGGGGTGGCTGAGGAAGCATGGAGCACCCCAAGCAGGAGACAACCTCTCCTGGGACTGGGGACTCGGCTTGGTGGAGCGGGAAAGCCAACCCTGATAGCACTGGAGACGCAGCAATGGCCCTTGGACACCTGCCCCAATACCCGTCATGCCTCTTTCACAAAAAGGAACAATGACTAATGGTGAAATCTGGGGGCACTGGGGTGCTGCCTGCATCCACTCAGAAGGGTCAGCCCTGGGTGGAGGGTAGGTCGTCAGTCTGACTGTTCACTCTCCTCCCTAAGCACAGCTCCAATCCCAGGACACATCTCTTTAATGCCTACTGGCCAGCGGCACTTTTCAGAATTTTCCCAAAGCCTCCATAATTCTGCATGGATGAGGTGCTGGCTCTTCCATCCCGGGGTTTAATGGTTCCAGAAGGTGCCCTGAGTGATGTTCCACAGAGCAGGTACCCTGAGTGATGCTCCACAGAGCAGGTCTCCAATCCAATCCTTCTTACCTCTCCCTTGCTCCCACCCAAACCATCCCACCTCTAGCATGCCGGCTCGCATTGGTCTATCTCCCGATGCACCGCTGAATGCCCCTTCCCCAGACTTGGGGAGTGAAGACAAAAGGGATCCAGGAGCCAGGAACTCTCCTCGTTTATCAGCACACAGGATTCTGGACCCGAAGTGGACTTTAGGGCAGCCTCAGGCCAATCTTAGTCCTGGGGGTGGGCAGGGCCCCTGGGAAGAATGACGCTTCGGCTTCTGAGGCTGCTGAAGGGGGCAGGAAGTCCCTCCACTCAATCCCAGTGAGGACAGAAGGGCCTTTCCAGAGAAGATTTTCAGCCACCGAGGTTAAGAGCTCCTGATCCGGGCAGACCTGGGATCAAGTCTTCGCTTGGTCACATACTAGCTGTCTGAGTTTCAGAAACATGGCTTAACCTCTTAGATCTCAATTTCATCTTCACTAACGATCTCTGGGTAGGAGAGAGGATGACAGGAGATGGTGCAGGTCAAGTGCCTTAAGACAGTGCCGGGAGGAAGCACTTGAGACAGACCCTGTGGAATAATTCCTCTTTGTTGCCACTCTGACCTGAGGTTCACCCATCTATCTGTCTTCTCCATCCCCAGCTTCATCTCTCTCACCTGGATGACATTATCAGGCCCCATGTGATGTCTCCGCTCCCTCCCAAACTTCCCACCTCTGTAGGACTGCGGTCTTCAGCGCCTGAAAGCTCAGCTCACTGCAAATCACTCCCCGGCTACTCACAGCCTGGGGACCCAAGTCGTCAAGTCTTGGTCTGGCATTCACGGTCCCCAGGCTGTCCAGCGTGCCCCCTCTGCTCCAGACCGCCCCGTCTTTCATCATCTCCCTCCACACCCTCCTTCTTACCTCCCCGCCTTGCCCAGGCTGTTTGCTCTTCTTTGGAACGTCCTGTCTCATCTGCTCCACCAGCTGGAATCCAGCCCTTCCTTAAAGGCCTGGTGCACAGTCTACCCCCTGCTACCTTCTCTGACCACTCCAGCCCTCCTCCCAGCTCCTGGCTGCAGTGTCCACCCTGGACTGTTCTCTCATTTTTGGCCGCCTATAGGGATCATCGCTCTGACTCAAGGGCTCCACTCAAATCCCTGAAGAAGGAAAGAGCCAGGGGTTAGAGGAGAAATGGAGTCTCCCTTCTCGACAACCTCCTACACTGCGCCTAGCTCCAGTCAGTGCTTTTAAAATGCTCCCGGGATGACTGGGGGAGCTGTTTGCAAGTCTTCCTCAGCCTCTGGAGAGGTGGCTTTGGAGAGATTAGGATGGCTGAGGAAGGTGACAGTGGCGGTTAGGACAGCAGAAGAGGGATGGGTAAGGTGCCACCGTCTGACCCAGCCTAGAAGGGCTCTGTGTCTGACAATGTGGCAGTACTAGGGACGAAGTACCAATCTGAGTGGGGAGGGAGCCATGTTTAAGCAAGGTCTTGTGTCGTCTCCAGGCAGCAATCCTCTAGGGGTGAAGAAGTTGGGGTGAAGGATGAAGGGAAGGCAGTGGCGTCGGCAGGAGAAAAGTTGTCCGAGGCAGCGGAGGATGTTTCAACGGGGGTCTCCCCAAGTCACAGCCCCGTCACCAGAGCGGGTAGTGAAGGGTGGCAGTGGGACGTGGCCCATAGCCCAAGTTCTAGGGCGCTCGCCCTTTCCATTACTGCTCTGGGACTGGCCCTGTTGTCACAGCTTTCTTCGCTGTGACCAAGTGACCATCGGGGCTCTCTGAGGGGGCCGGGGGGCTGGCAGAGCCCCCTCCCCCTAGTGACTTGCTAGATGACTTCCTGCTTGGTGATGGTCGGCTGTGGGATTGCAGAGGGGGGCTTGACGATTGTGGCGATGGCTCCCGGCAGGAGCTTGTAGGGCTCAGACCCTGAGCCACCTGGCGGTGAGGGCTGTGGAGTCTCAGGGGTGGCTGGAGGGATAGAGAGACAGACAGGGGCTGCTCAGAATGCCAGCCCTTTGGGGAGTAAACGAAGAGTCCTGGGAAAGTTCGTCCCCCTCTCTGAGACTTAGTTTCCTCTACCACAAAATGAGGGAATTAGACTAGATTCTCTCTAAGGTCTCCTACGGCCCAAACCTTCTGAGTCCCAGATCACCAAGTCTAAGTTCCATGAGGTCTGGAAGGCTGTGGCTGGGTCGGGTTCTCTGGTCAGAACCTTTTGCCCAAGTCCCCATAGCCCCCATCTCTTCCACCATTTGACATGGAGACTTCAGCTGCTGCTCTCAAACCAGAGCCCAAGTTGACTCTCCCTATGGACAATGGGACATGTGACAGGAATATCCTTTCTTGGAGAAAAGGAACAGCAGTAGATGCGACCCAAGGGTCTGGTTAACTGGTTCAAAAAATACCATTTCTTTGATGTTGAGGCAGCTGAGTAACAGAAACGAACGGCCCCAGCGCCATTACCAGTTCAGAAAATAATTTTGACCATGACCCACTTGGCCAACTTTATTCAATGGCCAGCTTTCCCAAAGAACAGTCTCAGTGAAATGCAACCTCATCTTAGTGGGCCACCTCATCCCAACGATAACCTTACTCTTTGAAGAACTTTGCCCGATGACAAACTCACTCTTGGGAGATATCACCTCAGAGGACAATCTAGCCCAGTGGAGGTTCTCATCCAATGAATGGTCTCACCCAACTGTCTAATGGACAGCCTTACCCAATTGGGCAGTCTTACTTCAATGAACAATTTTACCTAGTGGACAACATCACCTAATGGAATTCTCACCCAATGGGCAGCCTCACCCAGTGGATTGCCTTATCCCAAGGGCCGCTTCATTCAGTGGAGACCGTCCATCACCTCAGTGAACAAACAGCCTTCACAATGGATGTCTCACCCCTCATTCCCTACCCTGGAGCACAGAGAACTGTTTTATCCCATTTCCCATCTTCTAGACCCGACCTTCTCCAGATTCCCTCTTAGGCCCCAACCTCACCCCTTCCTGGGTAAAGCCCAATTGCCCACCTGCCTGCCCCCTGGGTCGGGGCCACTCACACATCTGTCCGTTGCTGAGGTGAGCAGGCATCGTGTTGGCAACAATGACGTTGGTGCCCATGTGTTCCTGCATCAGGTGAGGGTGCAGGGGGTGATGGGCATGAGGTGCATCACTGGAGGACCCTGCAGGTAGAAGGGGTACTCAGTGAGGATGAAAGAGTCTGGGGTAAAGTCCATGGGCCTTGAGGCACCATCTTCCTCCAGTGTGGCCGATCTACCTGCCCATCCAATACTGACAGTGCCTGTTGGGCTCCTATTTCCAGATTAGTAAACGGGGGCTTCCATTCCTATCCACAGGCTTCATGAAGGTACGGAGAGGACACAAAAACCAAGAGAATAAAGTGATTTGAAAGAAACAAGGAGCGTCTAAAGAAGCTGTGAGATCATTTAAATATTGCAGCAAGCACTGTATTGATTACATGTTAATATAATGGATTCAATCAATGGCTCTCAAAGCTCCTTGGTGTGCAAGTCCTTCAACCATTTGGTCCCAACTCACCATTAAGCCTCATCCCCTATATCTGAAGCCCAAATGACCTACTTATAGCATCGATGTGTCCCCTGTACTGTCCTAGCTCTGTGCTTTTGCTCCTGTGTCACTTCCACTAAAGATGCCTTCTACCTCCCCTTCCCCCCGCTCCCCCAATATCCCTAAGTCCAAATTCCAGCTCACAAATTTCCTCCTTTGGGAAGCCTCTCCTGATTCTCCCCAGTCCAGTAGGAAGTAAACCTCTCCTTCCTTGGAATTCCCATCGTCATTTATCTGTAACCCATCTTTTGGGACCAATCACTTCTGTCTGTGAGCATTACAATTACAGGTGTATTTTTCTTCTCTCTTTGAGGTCCTAGCAAAGTGTCTGGAACACAGTAACTGCTTCAAAAAATGTGTCAGAGAATGACAGTACCATATATATAAGGTCTGGTAATAGGCTATGTTCACTAATATGACAATGATGGAATTTTAGGGCTTGCAAGGGGACTCTAAAGTGTACCTGTCGCAGTGATAGCTGTCAATTATTGAGCACCTGTTATGTGCCAGGTACTGCTTTATAGCACTTTTCATGTTTGACATAATTTAATCCCCACAGCAATCCTGTATAGTGGGTATCATTATTAACCCATTCTACAGATGAGATTATAGGACCCGAAGAGATTAATTATCTTACTCATGTTTATCTGGCAACAGAACACAAGCTCCTTCCTGACCCTGATCTCAGTGACACCTGATTCATTATGACCCCATATTCACAGGGTCAAAGTGAGAATGAAATGAGTTACCATATGACAGTGGTTCTCAGCTGGGGGCGATTTTGGTCCCGCAAGGGACCTTTGAAAATATGTGAATATTTGTCACCACTGAAGGAGTGATACTGGCATATCTTGGGTAGAGGACAAGCATGTGGTTAAACAAGGTACAGAAGAGCCCCCTCAGCAAAGAACTGTCCAGTCCCAAGTATCTGCTGAGGTTGAGAAACCTTGTCCTTGGCCATCACCAGTAACTGTGTCGCCTCCAAAACCTTCAGTTCAATCATCTTCACTTAGACCCTGCCTCTTACCTTTCCAGCTCACTTCCTCTAGTACCACCACTGCAAAACTTCTTCAGCCCTATTGACGCTGTCATTTCACTGACCCCCACTTTTCACTCTTGTCACCCATCCACATTCCTCTTAGTTCAGCCAAGATTCCGTGGTACATTGTTATGATCACCGCCTTGCAATCATCCTCAGCTCTCTCCCAGGTCCCCTTCTTAGCAAAACATTGTCAAAGGGCGGTATACTCTTGCTATCTCCACTTCTCCACGTTCCAACTCACTCACTCTGTAATACCCGCTCCCCTGCCTCAAATCTGGTTTCCTTTCCCACGGTCTTCTGACACTGCTCTCAACACAATCGCCAAGAGCCTCCTTCTCCCTCCTGTGGAATTTAACACAATTAAATGTCTGTCCCCACTCAAACACACTCTCCTCTTGGATTCTGGGACTCTCCCTGGCTTTTCTCCTATCCCCCTGGCTAGTCTTCCTCTGTCTCCTTCTTTGGCACCTAGTTTCTGGGACACCACGAAGCTGCCCCTCATCCTCACCTTTGGGCTTGTTTGAGCAACAGAGTCAAACATGCATCTGCCTCCTGGATAACTCAACCCGGATATCTAACAGTCATCTCAAGCTTAACTAAAGTCTAACATGGATTCCTCACCACCACCATCATCCCCAGCCTCCAACTGTTTTTTCTCAGTCTTCCCCATCTCAGTAAATTACTCCACCACCATTCCCGTTCCTCAAAGCAAACATGTAGGTTTCATCCCTGACGCTTCGCCTTCCCCTCACCGCCCCATCTGATCAATCAGCAGATCCCGTGGGTTCTTCCTCCAAATAGATGTTCAAGTTCATCTATGCTGATCAATTTCCAGTCATGCCTTAGTCCTAGCCTCCTTGTCCTTCCCCTGATTGGAGACAGTGACATGTCTCAGGGGTCTCCTGTCTCCACTTTGCTCCCCTGAAATTCACTTTCTACCCAACAATCAGGGTAGTTTGTTTAAAACATTAGTCTGATTTTTCAGTCTTTTTATAAGAGTAGTGATGAGAATACAATGCAAATTTCTGACCATAGCCTTTAAGACAATGTTTATGAGTTGGTTTCTGCTCAATCTCTACCTTTATCTCATGTAACTCCTCCCGTCTCACAACCTTATCTTTCTTGAAGACACAAGCCTCCCCTGCTTCAGGGCCTTTTGCACTACATCTCTTGGAATGTTTCTCTCTTGGCTTTTAAATGTTCTCTTTCCTTCCATCAGGTCCGTGGCATAAAAGTCACTACTTCAGTGAAGTCTCCCTTGGCCAACCTATCTAAAGAGGCCCCTTTTCAGTTATACTCTATCATATTACCTGGTTATTTCAAAATCTGTAGTTGCCCTCTTTATTATATACTTGATAATCATCTGTTTCCACGAGCCTTTATACACAGTGGCAGGCGCACGCACACTCATACACACACACTCATACACAACCTCCAGGAGGACAGAATCTTGTTCTCTGTTGAAACTCCAGCACTTAGAACAGTGACTGGAACATGCTAGCTTCTCAGCACCCGAATTAACAGACCATTATCCCCATTTTCCTGATGAGGAAACTGAGGCTCAGGTAGGTAAAAGGATTTGCCGAAAGCTACAGAGTGAGGAAGTGATGGAGCTGAGAGGTGAACTCAGGTCTGCCTGAGGCTTGTGTCTTGGAGAGGCCGCCCACCCCAGCCCCGCCCACCTCTCATCCCTTCCTGGGCCAGGCACGGACCTCCCAGCAGCATCTCCTGCAGCAGGTTGTCGATCTTGGCCATGCCAAAGAGCTTGATGAACTGGATCTGCTCGATCATCTGCCAGGTGATGCTCTGTAGGGTGGGCAGCAGCAGCAGCAGCTCGCCGAAGCGGCCGCGTGAGTCGTACTGGCGGTCGTTGATGTAGTCCTCCAGGCTCACCTGCACCTGGGAACGCAGCCTCTTGATCTTGCCCGGGTCGCTCAGCCCCTTGGCATCTGCAATGGGAGAGCTTGTGCAAGGGAGGCAGTGGGGGCCACCTGGAGCATCTGGGGAGGTGGGACCCAGATGTCCCCTTACTCCTGAGGCCCTGATAGGGGGACCTCGTGGCCCAGGTTCACATAGGGAGTCCCCAGCAGCGCTGGGGCAAGGATTCACGGTCCTCAAGAATCAGAGTGCGCTAATGCGAGCTGTAGCTTCCCGGACTCAGGCAGAAAAAGGTTTCTGTCACATTTCCTAAGACGCAGAACTGGGAGAAAGAAGTGGAAGATGGGGGGCAGGACTTCAGGAACACACCCAAGAGGGTACCTTGCAACCGTCTCATCTTAAAGATGGGGAAATCGAGGCACGGAACAAGGAAAGGACTTGGCCCAAGCCACACAGCCATTTGTTGGCAGATCCATGATGTGAATTAGGGCTCCTGACTCCCAGGTAACGTCCCGCCATCCAGACCTCAGCACACACTGCTTCTGCTGCCTTACAATAGCCTCCCCTCTTCTCTGCTCCCTTGCCTGTGTCGTCTTGGGGTTTCAGCTTAGTTTACGCTTCCTTCAGGAAGCTGTCTCCATTCCACCCTCCAAAGTCTGCACTCTCAGTGTCCATGGTGTCCCCAAATTTCTGTGGCTCTTCCATCACTACTGAGCACACAGGATGTAATTGTCTCTTCCACTAGCACAGGCCCCAGACGCACAGGCTCAGCGGCCATGGCTCACAGGTCTAGCCGCTCCGCGGCATGTGGGTTCTTCCCGGACCGGGGCAAGAACCCGCGTCCCCTGCATCGGCAGGCGGACTCTCAACCACTGCGCCACCAGGGAAGCCCTCTTTTGTCTTTTTAAACCCACTACTTAGCACCATGTGTTGTCAATATTTGTTGAATAGATAATTAGATGAGAGGATGGGTACATGGATGGAAGGATGAATGAATGAATGAAAAAAATCAATGAATACATTCTAGATCCTTAACTAAGAAGGTGATTCAAGTGGTCATCCAATAGTTAATCTCAACCGTCATGGAGGTAATACATTTATTTCCTCTTTTATTTCCTCTTTTATGGATAAAGTAAGCAGCAGAAAGAGAACTTCACCCACATTTCCAGTCCAGGGCTTTCTCTTCTGGGCCACGTTTGTGCATTCTTTCATTCAGTCAATAAATATTTATTGAGCACCACCCACGTGCCCGGCCCTGTCCTAGTTCACCTGCCCGTCCAAGCCAGGTTGCTGACCCTGACTCAGCATCAGTAATCCTGCACATTTTACTGAGCAGTTACTAGCCATCTAGCTCCGCGCCAAGCACCACAGGGGATGCAGCCTGGGCCAGGCTCTCGAAGAAACTAGAACTAGAAATCTTACCCCCTCAAGAAACGGGGAATAGTGTGTGGTAGGTAGGAATATGGGCTTAAGAGCTGGATAGTCTGAAGTTCAAATCCAAGCTCTGCCATTTCCTGGTTGTGTGACCTTGGGCAAGTTAATCGATCTCCCTGTGCCTCAATTTTCTTATCTGCAAAATAGTGATCATGACAATTCCTACCTCACAAGTAAGAAAGCGAGAACATCCACAGGAAGCGCTTAGAACGGAGCCTTAGCGAGCACTCCATAAACAGTGCTCATTTCCTCTGTGTCACTATTTTTACTAGAGGCGATCTCCATGCAAGGAGGGCCTGGCGCTAAGAACAGCGTCTGGCACACAGTAGGTCCTTTCTCACATGGAAGGAGGGAAGGAAGCCAGCAGGCTTTTGCAGCCCAGGCAACCATCGTGACATTGTGAAATGAAATCACACTTTGCACAAAGACACAACTACAACAACGTTGTATAAAAGTGCAGGTGGGGGCTTCCCTGGTGGTGCAGTGGTTGAGAGTCCGCCTGCCGATGCAGGGGACACGGGTTCGTGCCCCGGTCCGGGAAGGTCCCACATGCCGCGGAGCGGCTAGGCCCGTGAGCCATGGCCGCTGAGCCTGCGCATCCGGAGCCTGTGCTCCGCAGCGGGAGAGGCCACAACAGTGAGAGGCCCACGTACGGCAAAAAAAAAAAAAAAAGTACAGGTGGAAAGTCAGTAGATGGAATGGGGAGAGTGGGGTGCATAATCTTTATTCTGCTAATGAAAGGTTAGGAGATACTGCCTACAGGTAATGGGACAAGAAATAATAGCATAAGCGCAGGACATTATAAAGGCGAACAGTAGAGACGCTGAAATAGCAAGAAAAATAGATTAGGAGGAGGGGGGAGAAAAGATGGGAGTGGTGATAGAGAAAAGTGCAATCCTCAGCTATCACAAGAGGGAAAATATGTTCTAAAATGGATAAACCAAGGAATAGAAGGGTTAGCATTTTATTTAGAGCTGGAGAGGTAACTGCCAGAAGAAACAGTAAAAAGAATTGGAAACGGTTCCCCCATGGGGAGTAGGCTTTGGACAGGAAAAGTGTGGTGGGGAAGACTACTTCCATTTTGAGTGTGTGTAAATATTATTTCGATAAAAAATTTTTTTGAGGGAAAGAAAAGAAGGATGGTAGGAGGTAAGGAGCAGAAAGCAGGGAGGAAGGGAAAGAAGGGTAAAGTGGGAAAGAAAAAAACCAAGCCTCTGGAGTCAGTGCACCCTATCAAGTCATTTCAGCCCTTTGAGCCTTGATTTTCCTCATCTGTTAAATGGAGCTAATAGAAATGGCCTCTCCTGGTTGATGTACTAAAGAGATGAGGTGGTAAACTCAGGGTACATAACCCAGTAGGAGAAGTTTGGCAGAGGGTCCGGAGCATCAGGGGAGGGTGGGAGGTCTGGGCTGTACCTGGGTCAAAGAAGATGATGGCTTTGAGGCAGGCATACTCATTGTCATCGATCTGCAGCTCCTGAAAGGGCAGCACCAGCTCATCCAGGATGCGGATGGACACACGGCTCATCTCTGCCAGCTCTGGGCAGTGCCGAGGGACGATGTAGTCATTGCCTGGATGGGTTGGGAAGGAGAGGGGATGGGGAAGCCACCTGGGTGTACCCCTCTCCCCTAGCTTTGGACAAGCCCTGCCACTGGCAGTTATAATGCAGCTGGTGCCCATGGGAGGAGGGGCCTGTGGGAATTGTCACGCCCATTTTACAGATGAGGAAGCTGAGGCCCTGATTAAAGGAATGAGTTGCTTGCAGTCACTGGACTGGGCCTGGAGCCTGACTTCCTAGGACCCCTTTCACATCACCCAAGCTCCATTCTTCAACATGACAACAGACCCACAACACTGATGACACTAAAGGGCCACTTCGGAGGCATAAAAGCACCAAGGATAAGGGCTCAGTTTCTGGAACTAGATTGCCTGGATTGAGTCCTGCTTCTACCACTGACTAGCCAGATATATTTGGGTAAGTCATTTTCTGTGCCTCAGTTTTTCCATCTATAAAATGGGAATAAATTACAGAGCTTACCTCACATGGTCGTCATATTAAAGGAGTTAGTATTTGTAAAGTACTCAGACTAGGGCTCACGGTGCGCCCTATATAAGTATTTAAAATAATAAACAAACATGCTATGAAGGCATAGGTGACATAGGCTGGGGGTTTGTGCCATTCCTGGATGTCTTTTGCTCCTACTCCAGAAAGTACACCAGAATGCACAGGTTACTCCAGGGCTAACCCTGACTGTGCTCTAACTTCCATGCTGGGGAATTGAGTTCTTCGAGTCCACATTTCTTTGCATCTGAGTGGGGTATCCAGGTGAGAATACTGAGGACAGGACCATTCCTGATCTTTCTCCCTCACTCCTGCACACTACCATGGAAATCTCCCGTGCCCAGGTGTGCTCCATGCTGGGCACACCCTCTGCAGAGCCCTGGCTGGGCAGGCAGTATCCTCACCTAGAAGCAGAACGTCCTTGAACACCATGGAGCGCTTGGTGGCTCCGAGCAGCAGGTGCTCGCCAGCATGGGCTCTGAGCAGGGCCACCTGGAAGAGAGAAGGGATTGCGTCCGGTGTCCACACCCCTGGGAAGGTGTCCACACCCCCGGGAAGGCTGCTCCCGGCCAAGTCAATGACCCTGGGCAAGTCAGCTTAATGCTCTCCTTGCCTTTACCTGCCTGAATTATAAAATGGGTATCAGAAAACTGCTGCCTTGGAACGTCCCTGGTGGTCCAGTGGTTAAGACTCTGCATTTCCACTGCAGGGGGTATGGGTTCAATCCCTGGTCAGGGAACTAAGATCCCACATGCTGTGCAGTGCGGCCAAAAAAAACCAAAAAAAGAAAAAAAGAAAAGAAAGAAAAAGAAGAGAAAACTGCTGCCTTCCTCCCATAACGGATAAAACTGCCTGGAAGGGTAAAGAACATGTGCTCAGAGCCGGGAGACCAAATGCTGAGCCTGTCCTTGAATTGCTGTGTCCAGGTTAGCTGCTGCTCCCCTCTGGGCCTCATCTGCATGGCTGGTAAAACTAACAACTGGGTATGTGGGGTTTTTTTTAGCAGAAACTTAAAGGCTTTCATCAGACTCTCAAGAGGGTCTACAAACCCAAAAAGTTCTAAAACTTTTAGAGCTTTTTCCTGAATTCCTACCCATGGATAAGCTATGAAAGATTATGAAGACTGTTTTGTAAAAACGCAGATTCTCAGGCCCTACTGCCAGAAACGCTGATTCTGTATGTCTGGGGTGGGCCCAAGAATCTGAAATTAACAAGCTCCTTGGTTGAGTCTGATGCACCGTTGTGTTTGGGAAATCATTACTCCGGGAGATCTCCAGGGCATCCACCCACTTGACGCCGGAAGATTCTAGATTCTGAGAAAGCGTTATAAGAATCTGGACATGGATGTTGCTTCCCGAGGCAAAGGTGTGAGCACTGGTCCTTGGCAGGAGATCTGCTTGACCGACCCCTTCCCTACAGAGAGGACAGGGAGGCCTTGGAAGAAGACTGAAGTCTGAGGTGGGAGCCCTGCCAGTGCACAGGAGGACATCGCTTGCCCTTTCAGAACCACCTGCTTCAGTGCTTGTATTAGGACCAAAGGATGGGGCTGGTCAAACAGTAGCAGGCTGGTAGCCTCAAGGATCTTATCTGCAAGGTTGGGTTGGGGAGTTTGGAAGTGTTTTAGCAGGCTAAGCTAGGAGGCAAAGATGCTTTTATTCATTAATTCATTGGATTGCTCATTCTTGTAGTCGTCAAATGTTGAGTATCTACTAAGTGCCAGACACTTGTTTGGGGACACAATGGTGAAAGGAAAGCAAAGGAGGGAGGGAGGAGGAGAAAGGAAGAAGGAAGGAAGGAAGGGAGGGAGGGAGGGAGGGAGGGAGGGAGGGAAGAAGGAAGGAAGGAAGGAAGGAAGGAAGGAAGGAAGGAAGGAAGGAAGGGAGGGAGAGAGAGAAGGAAAAAATAGATTGATGGAGGGAGGGAGGGAAGGAGAAAGGAACGTGAGGGTCATGTGATAAAGAGCAATGAGGCAAGAGCAACTACATTCGATGAGGAGATCATAAAAGGCCTCTCCAAGGAGGTGAAGTTGTTCTAAGGCACGGAGGACACCTGGTACATAGTAAGCATTCGATAAACATTTGTTTGAATGAAGCAGGAAGGAATAGGTGAATGGATGAGCCAACTACTTAACATCCTCTCCAGATCGAGCCCCTCCTACCGCCATGCCCTTACCTCATCTGTTCCCCCATGGTTAAGCCTGGTGAGGGTGACAGGAAAAGAGGAGAAACGGCAAACAGCCTTGGAGGCGAGAGCTTCCTCTCCACGACCAGGGCAAAAGGAAGCCAAAGGATGCTGATTACTGAGCACTTCCTATACGCCAGGTGCCATGCAGGACTTTCGTCACTCACCCCAGTGCCTCTGCGATCAAGAGGCAGAAGACCTGGATTCACACCCTGTGGCTGCCTTGTTCTGTGACCTTGGGAATATGGCTCTTTCTCTCCAAGCCTTAGTCCCCTTATCCAATGCTACCCAGCCTTCTAGGTTTCAATGGGTTGATGTCCAAGACAAACCAAGAAGCAAACAAACTTGGAAGGTGGTTCCTGGGGCAACGTCGACAGACAGTGCCCCCAATTCTCCCAGGTGTGCCTCACTCATCTTGGGCAAGATGAGCTCCTTATACGCCATGAATGGGGAGCTGGGAACCCTCCTGGCCCTGGGTCTAGCCCCCTAACATGGTGGCTGTTCTGGGGGCGGGCAGGCAGGGGGGTGGTGATGTTAATGATTATTCTGTGTTACTGGCCACCCATCACTGCTCTCTGAGAATGCTCTGAGCCCCAGCCAGGAAGGTTTGGGTGGGAAATCGAGGTTAACAATTGCTTAGCTTGGGGGGGATCTTGTTGCCCTGTTGAGCCCCTGGGAAGGAACAGGAGGGATTAAACATTAATGCAGACTCTCCAGCAGAGGGGACCAGGGCCAGAACATGAGGAGCAGGGGAAAAGGCAGGGGCCGCTCGGCCGAGATCCCTGCCTTGTCATCCCTTCCAAAGCAGAGAGGAATCCAGGCGAGAAGGCGTCTGATCTAGCCCCCCCATGAGGGTGAGGGCCAGCCAAGCCAGGGTTTTCACAGCGTGTCCCACCAGGTGATACTAACGTACTCCAGGAGAGCCTGGGCATCAGAAGCCTTCGAGAAGCCCTAGGCTTCCCAAAGTTCCATAGCTGCCTTGCCTGAGGACTTCTCAGAAACTTTAATAGACCGACATGTGCTGCCAATCTTTTGTGCAAATGTGCAAAACAGAGAAGCAAATGCACCAGGAGCCGGTACCTGGAACACTACCCATTGGTGTCCCTCAGCTTCCCTTGGAGCTGAGAAGGTGACCCAGCCCAACTCCTCTTTCCCAAACAGGGAAAGTGTCTGCAGAGGCCTCGGGGGTGCCCTGGGCAGGCACTACCATTTACAGTATCTCAGAAACTCAACTGTCCTCAGCCCCTGCCCCTTCAGCCCCCTTTTTCCCCTGGGACATTTTTTGGTATTCCAAAGGAGGTGCTTTGGGAAATAAAATGCTGAGTTAAGCCATCTTGGTGGGATACAAGGAAGAAACTGACAGTTAGGGAGGTCCGCTGTGGCCTGGGACTGTGTAGGTGCCCCGTTACATGATTCACGCTTCTCAAATGGTAAGTGGGAGATTGGGACGGACGTGTACACACTACTATACACAAAATAGATAACTAATAAGGACCTACTGTATAGCACAGGGAACTCTACTCAGTACTCTGTAATGGTCTATACGGGAAAAGAATCTAAAAAAAAAAGGGCATATATGTGTATGTATAACTGATTCACTTTGCTGTACACCGAACTAAATCAACCATGCTCCAATAAAAACTTTTTAAAAATGGCAATGTCCCTCAATCCTCCCAACAGCTTTCTGAAGTGGATATTACAATTCCTACTTTACAGATGAGAAAATGGAGGCTCAGAGAGAGAAAGTAATTTGTCCGGGATCACACAGAGAACCTATCTTAGAGCAAGGGCTCAAGCCCAAACCTCCTGATCCCTGCCCCTGACCCCCTACCAACATCCTCCCCAGGAGAGCTGCCTGGGGCAGTGGTGCAGTGGCTACTAGCCTGGACTTTGAAGCTTGTCTGCCTGTTCTATTACCAGCTGTGTTGGATACTAGCTGTGTGATCTTGAGTAAGTTACTTAACCTCTCTGTGCCCCAGTTTCCTCACCTATAAGATGGTCATAATAGCACTGATCCCCTAGGGTTGTTGGAAGGATTAAATGAGCTAATATTTATAAAGTGATTTAAACAGCTCCAGGCACACATGAGCACTGTGTATGTTTGTTAAATAAAATCAAACCAGTCCAAGGCTATATCCCAGGTGGGCCAGCAGGACCCACCTGCCCAGGGCCCGCACTGCCCGCAGACCATGTTCACCCTCACCTGGTCGTCCAGGGGGAGCTCGCAGAAAGCTGGGATGTACTTGGCCCACTCGACGAGCACCAGCAGCTGCTCTTTCATGGACTCACACACATCCGCGATGCTGGCGATCTTCTTTGCCCGAATGTCACCATTGATTCCAGAGACAGGGGAGGTGATCTGGGGGAGATGAAGGAAAATGCTGGGGATGGCCGGGCCCTCCTTACATCCTCTGTCCCCTGCACAGAGCCCCCACCCCGGAGAGTTCTCCTGTCTGGAAAAGGGCAGCTGGACTGTGGGTGCCTTCTCCACTCTGAAGGAAGCTCAGGGAAAACCGGAAAGGGAGGATGCTGAGGAGGCAGTCATGGGGGAAGAAGCTCTCTCTGGGTCTTTATCTGCTGCCTGCCCTGTGTGCCCTCCTCCACCAGCTCCTTTGAACCCCAAGGAACCCCTCAGCCCTAGAGGAGAAGCAGAGCAAAAATCCTCATCCTCATCGGATAAGTGGAGAAACCACTGCCCAGAGAAGTGCTGTGACTTGCCCAAGGTCACACAGCAAGGGGTTGGCTGAGTCCCATGTGCTACTCTGTCCACTTGTCCACTCCTCTTTTCTCTCGGGGCTAAGCTGATCTCAGGCCCTCAGCGAGAGAGAAAACTGCTTGGCTTGCAGAATGCAGGCCCCACAGGGCCCCTGAGCGCTGGCTGTGGGTCTTTGCTACTAAACCGGCTGAGCGACCCTGGTCTCAGTTTCCCTTCTGTGATAGCTGAGGGCCCTCCCATCTGCTGCTCCAGGGCCTGGCTGGGGAGGTCAGGGGTGGAGTTGAGATTCCTCTTTGGGGTGAGGGATCCCCAGGTGGGTGGATCCTGGTGGATCCCCAGTACCTGCTGGGACAGGACCTCGGCCTGCAGGAGCGCGTTGATGGAGGGCAGGCTGCTGTCTTCGTAGCTCGACCTGCGAGTGCTGATCCGGTCCCGTTCGTTCTGGACGGCTGTGAGGAGGCAGAGAGAGGTGGGGGTGGGGGGCTCCTGTGACATGAGGGGTGGCTGAGGAGCAAGGGGAGGTGGCTGAACCCAGAGGGAAGGACTGCAAGGCTGGCCTGGAACAAAGGAAACAGGGTGGGAGGTGGGAGTTGGGGGCGCCGGGGAGCGTCCAGAGGGCAGAGCCAGATCAGCATGTGGGAACGGGGGGAGATGGGTCCTGGCCCAGCTGTGGGAGAACTTGCCAAGCACCACAACTGCCCCGCACACAGCTGGGTGGCTGTAGGAGTGACCCAGCCGTCACTGGAGGCATGTAAGGTCGTGATGACTTGGCAGAGGGCTCAAGGTGGGTCTTGAACTTTGAAGAGGGGATCTGTCTAGATGACAGGCTTTCAAGCTCTGTTTTGAAAAAGGGTCCCTTTCTTTCCAGATGAAAGTGTATAAAACAAGCAAAATGAATTGCTCTGGGTGACGGAGATGGTCAGGGATTCCTGAATGTGGAGGCAAAAGGCCCCACCTGCCCTCAGCCATCAGCAGGAAGGGCATGTGCTCTAGACAAACCTCTCAGGAGCAGCTCAGGAAAGCTCTGGCTCCCTCCTGACCGACTGCGGGGGCCCCCCTGCCAGGAATTCAGAGACCCAGGGCCTCCATCCACCAGGGCCTCACCCCCCCACCCCGGGCATCCCCATCCTGGCCTAAGATGTAAGGTGGTCCTTCTGCTGCCCTGGCCTGGCCCTCGGAGTCCGGGAGGCCTCACGGTGGTGGAATGTTTTTGAAGCTGGAAGGAGGGAGGACGAGGCGGCAGGAGACCTGGGTTCCTGTCGGGATTCATCCCTCACTCTCCCTGTGCTGGTGGGGGTCACATCCTCTCTCTGGGCCTCGGTCTCCCCATCTATAAGCTTTTCCCTCCAAACCTGCTCCTCGGGGTCTTTCCCATCCCAGGAACAGGCAGGTTCTTTCTTCCTCCTGGGAGTCTCACTATATGCCTTTTTTCTCACACTCCAAATTCCATCAGAAAGCTTTGCAAGCTCCATCTGCGGCTCCCGCTCCGGGCTGGGCCCTGGGGCAGTTCAGACCCTCCTCACCGGTCACTGTGCTTCTGGCCTTGTCCCTGCAGTCTGTGCACCTCTCGAAAGACAAAGGGATCCCCTAAAACCCAACTCAGGTCATATCCCTCCACTGCTCAAAACCAGGACCTCCCCATCATACCCGGAGTAAAGAGACAATTCCTCGCGATGGTCCTGTCTCTCCCATCTCGCTTTTATTTTCTCTGCCTGTCAAACCTGCCTCCCCGCTGTTCTGGGACTCACTCGGCCACTCTCCCTCAAAGCCTTCCCACGGCTGTTCCCACTGCCTGGAATTCTCTTCCCCTGCAGCTAAGCTGCTTCTTCTTCATTTACTCACGTCTTTGTGCAAATATCACCGTCTCAGTGACACCTGCTCTGACCATCCTGTCTGATGTGGTATCCCTCCCACAGGCTCTGCCCTTTCTCCAGCCTTAATTTTATTTTTTTGCTGTACACGGGCCTCTCACTGTCGTGGCCTCTCCCGTTGTGGAGCACAGGCTCCGGACGCACAGGCTCAGCAGCCACGGCTCACGGGCCCAGCCGCTCCACGGCATGTGGGATCTTCCCGGACCGGGGCACGAACCCGTGTCCCCTGCATCGGCAGGCGGACTCTCAACCACTGCGCCACCAGGGAAGCCCCTTCTCCAGCCTTATTTTTCTTCTTGGTACTTACTCTCTGTTTCTTTCTTCACTCTCTGTCTCTCTAAGAGGAGAAAAGCTCCAGAAAGCCAGAACATCATCCCTATTGTCCGCTGCTGTAGCCCCAACAAGTAGAACAGAGCCTGGCGCACAGTAGGTGCTCAATAAATATCTGTTGAGTGGCTGAAAAAAGGCGCAGGATGAGACAAGCTCTGATTCTTGGGCACATCCTATGCCCCGTTTCTCAATGGAACGTTGACATTCCCGCTATTCAACTCTCTCCTGATTTCACACATTGTTGAAATCAGAGAATGAAAGTCAGATAGTGTACAGGGAGCCCAGGAATTTAGTGGGATATGATAGAGGTCCCAAGGTAAGAAATCTCCTCTCCCCAGACCCACCATCCTGGACGGATGCCAGCTCCCAGCACCGCTCCCCTGCCCGAGTCCCGCCCCGCCCGCAACACCCCTCCCATGGCTACCAGCCCGCACCCACCAGGGCGCCAAGTGGCGGCCTAAGAAAAGGGCTGCTGTCAGCAGCTGGGGATTGGGCTCCTCAAGGTTAGGCCGGTGTTATCAGTGCCCGGCGCGAGCTCAGTCACGGAATGATGTTTTCCACATGTTTGCTCAGTATTAGCAGGGTCGGGGACCTAAGGTAACTTCTATTGAATATTAACCGGCCCGGGCAGAGGCGGAGAGGAGGACCAGCCTGTCTTCCGAGAGAACCCCTGAGTCGGGGCGTAGGGGAGTGCTGGGCCGGGGTTCCCAGGAAGGGCCTCTCAGACGGCCCCTGGCCTACCGCCAGCTTGCACCTCCTGCACCCCTGGCTCTGCGTCCTGGGCTGGATTTCCGACGCCAAGAGTCAGACATTTGTCCTGGGTCTACCAGCAGGGGCCCAGGAAGGTGTAGGTTTAGAGGAAGAAATTTGAGACCGGCTGTTGAGCCCACTGATTCCCCAGATTTCTTCCCAGAGTCTTTGTTCTTTCAGGGAACCCACTTCTGACCACCGTGGAATAGCCTCTGGCCAAACTTATAAGACTTTGAGGTCGAGAGGAAGTTTCAGGAATCTCGGCCGAGAAGGTGCCTCCCAAGGCCATCACTACTAGATTTCATCCAGGGACCTGGTGTCTGCTCAGCTCTGGGGAGGCTGAGCTCTAGTCCTGCCTTCCCCCACCCCGACCCAATCACATCACCTCTCTGGCCTCAACTTCTGCATCTGTAAAATGGGGAGGGGGTAGATCTGATGACCTCGTATACAACTGACTGGTCTATAAATGCTATGTTTGCGGCCCATACCTTCCTGTCCTCAGGGGCAACTTTTGAGTTTTAATCCCTGGATCTTCCTAAGGCCATCGAGGAAGGGAAATAAAAACTGGTCCCAACTCTCCTGATCACTGGGGCTTCCACCGAGAATCTCTCTTGACCTCCCACCAGGCCGAGGAGGGGTGTTGGGACTGTAAGACTTAGGTAGAGCTAGTAATGTCCTGACTCCCCAGAACTTGACCACAGTGGCAATGGAACACGTTGCTACCCTGGCCTGTTCTCAAAGCAACCAAGCAACTGCATGTGTCATGATCTCCTGGTTAACCCAAGCATGTAAATAAGCACCAACCTTTACTAGCCCACACTCACTTGCCATCGGTCAATTCTCCTATCCTTCTGGAGTAATGCCACCTTCTCCAAGACAAGAAGCCATTGGCTATTCTCAAGCCTGAGCTAAGGCAGAATGGCCGGGGGCTCTCCCTCCCCTTCCAGGAGCCAGGATCCGGGCCTGCTGCCTCTGTGGCAGCCCAGTGGGAGGATCAGGGAACAAATACACATGTCCTGGTGGGCAGTATGTACTTGTACGGGTAGATCAGTGGGCGTAAAGGTAGACTCAGAGCTGGAAGGGTTCATTATCCACCCCTGTCCTTTTATAGATGTGAACACTGGAGCCCAGATGGGGCAGAAACTTCCTCGAAGTGACATGTGAAAGTGCCTCTGAATATTTAATAAGAGACATCTATAACGACCATCCAGATGCAGGACCAGGCTACCTACAGCCTAGGAAGGTAGCCATCTGCTCAGGTGAGCTGCCAACCTTTCTCCCACCTGCCTGTCACAAGGCCTGGAATTTTAACATGAGAGATTCATTCTCTCAAACCTAAAATCTTAGGCTGTCGGGGTGATTGATAGAATCACTGGCTCTTAGGCTATAGCTCTCAATCTTTTTCTTGCCTCCAGCCGTTCATGCATGCCTCATATTCCCATTCATAACATTTCTTTCATTCTTTCTTTCTTTTTTTTTGGCCACGCTGCGCAGCATGTGGGATCTTAGTTCCCCGACCAGGGATCGAACCTGCGCCCCTGCACTGGAAGCATGGAGTCTTAACCACTAGACCACCAGGGCAGTCCCCCATTCATAACATTTCTCATTCCACAAAGTCGTTCTCAAGTTCAAGGTAAGACTGGCTCAATCCCATTGATAACTGGGTAGGGGAGAGCAGGGGGGCATCTGCCTTTTGAAAAAGGCCCTCCCCGACTTTGAGGATAACTGAGGTCTGGATGAGAGAATTGCGTTGCTGCGAGCCAGAAGGGGCCTTGGAGACCACGCACTCCTTCGTGAGGATCACAGGCCCAGGTTTCCCAACAGGGCTAGTGAACTCTAAGGGCTCTGTAGGGATGAGACCCAGAAGCTGTTTCCCAGGGAGGGAGAAGAGAAAACAGGGGCTCAGAGGTAGAGTCGGGGAGGGGAGACAAGCAAAGCCAAGTTCCCGTCCTTCTCAGTCTGCCTGGGGAAGGCTGGGTCCCAGGATCCTGCTGCGGTGTAGGGTGGGGTGGGGTGTGTGTGTTTGTACAGAACTAGACCAAGGGTTTTGGCTGCTGTGCCACAGCTGCGGGCTGGAAGCGAAGGTCTGGGAGCCAGTCCCAGGGCTGGGAAAAGTGAGTTGAGCAGAGAAGGAGACAGAGATTTGAAAATGAGCTCAAGTTACCCAGAGAAGCGGTTAAAAGATGTTTGCCAAAAAAAAAAAAAAAAAAAAAGATGTTTGCCTCCTGAGCTTAGGCTGAAAAACTTTTAAACATTCCTGGGGTCTGGAGGGCACAGTAGGCAGCACTGAGGTATCGTCTAAACAGCAATGAACTCGGGTCCAAAGCTCTGGGTTCAAACCTCGGAGCTTGTCTGACCAGCGGCGGGGCCTTGGGCAAGCTGCTGAACCATCCTGGGCCTCAGTTCCCTCGTCCATGAAAAGCAGGAAGGATAATAGTGCCACACGGGGCTGTCATGAGAATGAAAGGAACTATCAACTGTGGAAACGCCCAGCCAGGGGATTGGTATCTGCTGGTGGCAGGAGGCCAGGGAGACCCGAATAAACATTGTGCCCCAGCGTTCCCATCCTCCTCCACCCAGGATGAGTCTGGGGCCTTGTTCCCTTTTCCTAGAATGGGAGAACGCTGGGTCACCCGATGCCCAAGAAGGAAGATTAAGAAACTGCTTGCGGGGGGCTTCCCTGGTGGCGCAGTGGTTGAGAGTCCGCCTGCCGATGCAGGGGACACGTGTTCGTGCCCCGATCCGGGAAGATCCCACATGCCGCGGAGCGGCTGGGCCCGTGAGCCATGGCCGCTGAGCCTGCGCGTCCGGAGCCTGGGCTCCGTGATGGGAGAGGCCACAGCAGTGAGAGGCCCGCGTACCGCGGGGGGGGGGGGAAATAAAAGAAACTGCTTGGGGAGGAAGCTCAGCTATAGAACTCTCGCACCCCTGCCCCCATTCCCATTTGCTGAGTCTGGGTGGTGGGTCCGTGGATGTTCGTAGTGCCGTTCTCTACACTCTTCCTAATGTTTGAAATAGTATAGTAAGAAAAAGCACCCAACTCGGCTGCCTTGTGTTGGTAAAGGCAGGCAGGGGTGGTGGCGCTGGGAACCTGAGTAGCTGAAAGTGGGAGCTTATCTCTTGGAATCTTTCTCAAGACCAAGCCCAGCCCCTCCCTATGGTCAGATTTTCAGGCCCTCCCTCCTCTCAGCCGTTAGCCAGTCACCCTGGGGCCTGTCACCAAGTCATAAAGTTGTGGCCGCAGTTGTAAATGGCTGCCGGGAGCTTGCGGGTGCAGGTGGGACAGTGGGGTGGCAGGGGGAGGGTCGAGGCTCACCTTCCTTCTTCATGCCAGCCCGGAAGCACTTCTTGAGCCTGCAGTAGCGGCACTGGTTCCTCTTGTCCTTGTCCACCACGCACTGCCGGCTAAATCTGGGGAGGGCTTTGGATGGTCAGGTAGAGAAGAGACAACCTTCCCCCTCCCAGGTCTGAACCAGGATCCTGGCCATCTGGTTGACCTCCAGCCTCTTTGTTCAAACCTTTCATCCCAGGAGTTCTTCTGCTAACCAACCAGGAGCTGGAAAGGCCCTATGGACTCTCTGAGAGCCCAACCCTGTCCCGCTAAACATGGGGAAACTGAGGCTCAGAGAGGCGACACGTGGCCTCAGACCACTCAGCTGCAAGTAAAAGGCACTGCTATTTCCAGCATATCCTATAAAATCCCAGAGCCCAGAGTGGGCTCCTGATTGTGGATCAGTGTCAATACTTGGTCCACATAAGCCACATTCTTGGGGGGGGGGATATGGAATAGAGGCAGTACCCACAGTGGTTATGGGTGGGACCCTGAGTGTCAATCTGGGCTCTGACATTGATTCAAGCTGGGTGACCTTGGGCAAATTCCTAGTCCTCTCCAAGCCACAGCTTCCTCATCTATAAAATGAGAATAATAATAGTAACGACCACAGCGGGGTGTTGACAGGTGACAATGAGATAATTACCTTAATGGGGCTCAGCACACAATCTGTTCATAGTAAGGGCTCGTAAGGGACAGCTACCATTATTTTATTATTGCTGTTACCCAGAATGTGAGATGCTTTGAAGGAGGGATCTCCAAGGCCTTGAGAGAGGTGGAAAGGCCGGGGCCAATCCCCTATTTGCCCCAGAAAAAGCACCAGGTTGGGGGATGGTCCTCATCCTCTGAGGCTTCAGAGTTGGCTTAAACCACATGGGTCCCCATTTGCTAAATGGGAAAAATAACAATGAGCTTCTGGGAACAGTTAATACAGGCAAAGACTTAGTATGGTGCCTGGCACATAGTAAGTACTCAATAAATGTCAGTCTATGGCTTTATGATCAATAAATGAAGTTTCTAGAACAGATGTTCCCATCTGGATCTGCAAGGACTAAGAAATCAGAGGAGGCTTGAAGGGCTTGAAGGGCAGATGCCTCTGGGACTTATTCAGAGAGAGGACAGACCCGGGGGGACATTAGCCCACGTGCACCCATTTCCCAGCTGGAGAAATCAACGTTCCTCACCTGCAGGAGTACATGTGGTTCTTCCTCACACTCCTCCGGAAGAAGCCCTTGCAGCCGTCACAGCTTGAGGCACCATAGTGTTTGCCTGTGGCCCGGTCCCCACAGATGGCACACAGGGCGCTGACACCCAGGCTGTTGGGTGCGTTGAGGTTGGTACCTTCTGATGGGGACGTGTCTGCACCACAAAAGAAAAGTGAGGACACAGCGGGGGCAGAAAGTCACCTCCCGGAGGCCCTGCTCTCCTGGTGGTTTAGATTCAGAAACTGAGATGAGCATTGTGGGGACCTCCCCAGGGCTTCAGCCTCAGCTACACCCAGGTGCTGTTATACTCCCTCCAAGAACTCGGGCAAGTTCCTCGCCATTTTGGAACCCCCATTTTGCATCTGTAACTTAGGGATGGTTGTGGCACTGACTTCACAGAGTTGTTTGCAAAGGTCTGTTCCTCCCCATCGTGGAGACCGCTAGCCCCAGCTTTTCTCTGGGAAGGAACGAAAACCTGGCTGTCTCCCAGGATGCATCAGACCCTTGTAGACCCTGATTGGCTGGGTGGGGGGGACCGTGGGAGGGGCAAATATTCCCCCAGTGTCTGCCCAGAACCAGGTCCTGTTCCTCACTCCTCACTGAGTGAACAGGTCTGGGTGGCTCTCAGCTTGGTACCCAGGGGCCCTGAAACTCTCCCAGGGAACAGGAAGACATACATCAAGGACAGTGGCTCGTTTGCCCCCCTGGGAGGATCATGGCAAGGATCTGAGCACCTCATAGCAAAAGCTACTGCATCTATGTAAATGTGAAGAGGGGAATAAGAGGCAGGTGGCTGGGGTCCTGGGTACTAGTACTGCTACCAACTTGCTTGTGGCCTTGGGACAAGCTCCTTTTCCTTGCTTCAATTTCCCCTGGGCCTCAGTTTCCCTAACTGCAGAGAGGGGCAGTTTGACTGATCCAGTTGTTTTCCATTTTTTTTAAGTTTCAGCAGCTGAAACCTCTTTTTTGTAAGCAAATCTTCCACCAAGGATAGACCTCTTAGAGAAGTTGACAAGCACTATCGACCATCTCCCCAGAAAAATGCCTACATACGCACATCTCACAAAGTCACACACACACGTGTTTTCATAGAAACCCTGAATCCAATCCTGAATTCCTAGGGAACATCGAGCTAAGAACTGGAGAGGGATATAGTGCTGTAGTTAAGAGCACAACCTCTATAGCCGTTCTGCCAAGTTTAAATCGTAGCTTGTCCACCTCTTAGCTGTGTGACCTTGGTTGCATTAATTTACTTCTCTGTGCCTTCATTTCCTCACGTGTAAAATGGGGAACATGATAATCCCCAGGTCTGTTATGAAGATTCAGTGAATCAATATATGTGAAGTGCTTGGCACATAACAAGCACTATATCAGTGTTTGTGAAATGAAAACTTTTCTGCAGAAGAAAACTCTGGGAGCAGATGACTTCCAGCTTCCAAGCACAAGTGGACATCTCATTGCGGCTGTGGCCTAGCTGAACATCACCTAGACTCCCGAGGGTGCCCAGGAGTGCGGCCCCCTCCACTTGGTGAATTATTCCTGGAGATGGGGATAATTGTTAAACTGCGTTGGTGCCCTTTCTCCCTCAGCCTTGCCTCCTCCAACCCCCAGGAGAGCTGACCCCACAACTCAGGCGGAGGCTGGGGGAAGGGGCTCCCATATCCTGGGCAGGATAGGCTGGGCGATGCCAAGTGTATCACCCCACTCCCGGGGTCACCTGATGCTGGGTCAGCTCCCATTCTCCAGGTGAGAACATCAAGGCTCGGAGAGGACAGGACTTGCCCAGAGTCATCACATTGCTGTTAAGTAGAGGAACCAGATTTATGGTCCAGGTGTGAGGGCCAGTGCTGGCCTCTGGCCAGTGCTGTCCTTATTGGGGTGTCTGCTGGGGCCTCTGATAAACAAGGACTTCTGCCACTTCTGAATCAAGAGTGGCAGGCAGGTAGGGAGCTATCTTTGGAGCCTTCAAGCCTCCAGCCCAGGATGAATGCAAAAGATAACCCCAACTCTCAACCCACTTCAAACTCCAAGGGAGAACGTAGACTCTTCTTAGAGATGCTCAGAGTTCCTGAGACGACTCATGCGGGGCCAGGACCAGTTACCAGCACTAAGCACTCAGGTGCCTTATCGTTTTGGTTTTTTTTTTTTTTGCGTTACGCGGGCCTCTCCCATTGCGGAGCACAGGCTCCGGACGCACAGGCTCAGCGGCCATGGCTCACGGGCCTAGCCGCTCCGCAGCATGTGGGATCTTCCTGGACCGGGGCACGAACCCACGTCCCCTGCATCGGCAGGCGGACTCTCAACCACTGCGCCACCTCGGAAGCCCCAAGTGCCTTATCTTACTGGATCTTCTGGTTAGCCCTGGGAGGCAGGCGCTATGATTTACTCCCACTTTACAGATGAGAAAACTGAGGCTCAGAGAGGAAAATGGCTTGGCAAGTTCACACAGGTAGGAAGGATTTATGCCAGAATTTGAGGCCCGATCTTTCTGGCTCCAGAGCTGGAGGCTGTCCTGTCTTCAGAACAGCCGGTAAGGACCTGGCCTCTGTCTCAGGAACACACAGTTCTCGGGAGCTGGAGATATGCGCTTTGAAGGGGTGATGGGGGCAGCCCAGGGCTGGGCGGTGACCAGGTGTGGCAGCACACACTATCCCTCTGGGGTCACACAGACCCTGCCTAGTGCAGCAGCTTCTTGTTTACCATTTCCTGTGTGTTTTCCCCTCAGTTCCCTCACGTGATACCCGGACACTCCTAAAAGCCGGCCGGCCAGCAGGCCTCAGGTGACTAAGCCCATTTTGTAGAATATACAGAGGCCAGGAGAGGGGAGGTGACATGCCCAAGGTCACACAGGGGGAGGCGAGCAGCTGGTAAGACTGACCACGGGCAGTGCCCACTGACCACGGGCAGGGCAGACACCTCTCTCTGGCTGAGCTGAGCTGACCCAAGTTCTACAGACCTCAGCTGAAGCCGCGGCGCCATGGAAGGAAGGCAGGTGGAAGGCCAACCTTGGCCAGCTGCCCTCTCTCCTGTGAGGCTGGCCTTCGACCAGTCAGGTCCCGGCATCCTGGCTTCCAGGCCTCCTCCCTTCCCCCATCTCTTTGTATAGGAGGCCCCCCCCCCCGCCACCTTCAAATGTGCTCTAGGTGATATGGGAGCGTATGTATAAACCTGGGGAGAGACACACAGGCAACACGATCTGCTCTAAGACAAATGGACCTGTTGCTGATGTGAATCGCATTTGTTGAATGGCAACCCTGCACATCACGTGTACACAATCACATCACGTGTACACAATCACATGTGCTCTGGACCCCCGAGGGCAGGGATGCGCACACACAAACAAGCAGGTATAAACAGGATGCCCAAACGGGACATACACCCAGGAAGCTCGGGGCACACAAACCAATCCACATCCACAGACCACGTGTGCAAACATCCACAGACACACGTACACACACTCATCACCGCTCACGGACATAAGCAAGACAACACAGGCATCCCTAGAGACACCAACAAACACAGACCCACTCAGTGAACAAATGCAACTAGAAATAAGACACAGAACACGCACACACAGACGGGCGAACACAAACGTGCAAGTGGATTCCCGGAAACACACGTTTGCAACACACTGCCACCTGCCCACACGCGTACACGGAAACTCATGCACGCACGCCAAGAGGAGGTCACGATCGCACACCAGCGCGCACGCACATGGCACACGCACTACTGATCCGCGTCTCATTTAGCAAAACCTCCCTGAGAACTCCATTTTCTCTGAGTGGGGCGTTCGCCCCAGGAAAGTCCCAAAGATGCCCTGAAACACAGCTGTACCTCCATCCACCGTCCCCAGGGACAGGACGTACCTTTCCATCTCTCTGGACCTAGAAGGGACCACGTGGACCAGTTACTGGAGCTGGACACCAAGAGGAAGCTCCCATGAAGTCCCCGCTCCCAGTGACACGCTGAGCGGGGACAGCTTTGGTAACGGGGACCACAGGGGCCTGGCAGGAATACCTGGGACCTCCTTTTGCTGAAGATTTGCCCTTGCAGCACCCCCCCAACCCAGAATACCTCTGGTCACTGTACCTGGGCACATCTGCTTCACCTGGCAACACCTGTGCTCTCACCTATGGGACCAACGTGCTAATCTATCATTCTCCCAGTCCCAAATTGAGTGCTGAAGACTCGCTCCCGTACCTGGGCACACCTGCCCCCAACTGGCACACCTGGGCACACCTGCCCCCACCTACCATTGCCCATCGTCAACACCTGCACATTCTCAAACTCCAGGGTGGTGTAGGCTGGGTCCAGCGCAGCACTGTAGTCGGCCATGTCCATGTCGACAAGGGTTTTGGAGAGGCGCATCCTCCCCTCTTCACACCTCGGCCACCTGCCCTGCCCAGGATGCCCACCCCGAAGGCTCTGGGCCGAGCCCCAGCCCCCGCCCTCCGCCCTCCCACCGCCTCCTCCCAGGTGCCCTCTCTGCCTTCCTGCGTTTCAAACCGTCCTCTGGGAGGATCTGCCGGGAGTCTTGGCCTAGCCCCTGCGAAGGGGTGGAGGCTCTGCCAGGGAGGGCTGGGGGTTAATGGTTAATCGGCTCCCCCACTGGTGGACCGGCTGGGCGGGGCCACAGGGATTTGGCTGTTTGCTGGTTTCTGGCTGACCCCCCGGGGTGCTGTTACAACGGATGGGGCCCCAGCTCCCCAGTATTGTGTTAGCAATTCTGTAAGATGGGCACACTAATTCACCAGCCTCCATCTGACCCTGACTCAGCCACCCTCCAAGTCACTGTCACCCCGAGTCAGGCTGAGACGCTCACATATACCCTGGGGCATTGACAGCCCACCTCCAAGATGCCCTAATGCAGTAACTTCCCCAGTCATTGACTTCGACCCTCAATGCTCTCGCAGAGATAAAGCCGCCTCAATGGCTCACGCATCAGAAACATAAATCCCAGGCCCCAGATACCAATCTTCTAGATCCTTGTTCTGGGAGCATCCTTCCAGGTTCCTGCCTCTCCTGGGAGCAGGAAGGACTGAGAGGCCCACGCTGCTGTCTGGGTCCCCCGCCCTGCTCCCCAGGACCCCTCATAGGGGGCTGCTCAGTCTGTCACAGCTGCTCAGGCCCACACAGACTCCATCTCCCAGGTCCCCATCACCTCCTCCTGTCGCCCTCCCCCGTGCTTCCTCCTCCCCTTGGGGAACAGGCGGAGACAAGGCTTACAGCCCCGCAGACCTGGATTAACATTCAGGCGCCTACCACCTCCTAATCGTGACTTTGGGTAAATGATTCTCCTCTCTGAGCCTCAGTTTCCTCTTCTAGAAAATACACAATCAACTTCAAAGGGTGGTCTGAGTATTAAATGAGATGGCATTAGGAAAACACCAAGTGGTGCCCAGCAAGCGTCCATCCCCTCTCCTCCTGCCCCCCTTGGCCTCCCTTTCGTATCTCCTTTGTTTCTCTCCACCCACCTCCTCCCTCTAGAGTGGGCTTCACGGGTGAGCCACATAAGCCGTGCACAGAGCTCCACTCTCAGGCTCCCGTGTTTGGTTTAATGCTCGGCTGTTCTGAACAAGGGGCCCCCCATTTTCGTTTGGGACCGGGCCCGCCTGCCTTCAACTCATGGCTTACTCTTTTCTTCTGCACCCTCCAGCCCTCATTGCCCACCGCGCAGACACTTTCATGAGCTCCCAGACTACCTGGGGTGGTGGAGCTGGAAAGTGCAGGCCGACGTAGAAAGATCTGGGACTCTGGAGGCTTGGGAACCTGTCCTCCTTTGCTGGCGGGAAGGGCCGGGCACAGGGATTTGGTAACAAGAGCAAGAGTGGGTGAACTAGTGAGAGAGTGCATGAATGAGTGAGTGGGTGGGTGAATTAATGAATGAGTGAATTAGACAGTGGGTGAATTAGAGACAGAGTGAATTAATATGTGAGTGGGTGAATTACTGAAACAGTGAATGAATAAGTGAGTGAATGGGTGAATGAATGAGTGGGTGAATCAGTGGGAGAAGCAGCAGGTGCCTGAGGGGTGTGTGGAGGCACCCTGCTCATATTCTTCCAACTATTAGAAGCCCTTTCTCTGCCCCATGTAGCTGTGTTCTCCTCCCTCCATCTTCCCCCTGGAGCTGAGATAACTGGGGTGGGAGTTGGAGGGGCGGGCAATTGTTCTGGAGGAGAAGAGAAGCTGGATTTGGTGTCAGGAGACCTGGGTTTAGGAACTAGCTCTGTCACTATTTGGATAACTTTCCTTAAATCACATCTCTCTAAGGACCTCAACTTTCCCATCTGTAAAATGGGGTGAAGATACTGGCCCAGTTGTTTATTGAACAGGACAAGACAGCAAGGGAGGGAGGGAGGAAGAGAAATTCCGTAAGAGCTGATGGAGAAGACTTCAACTCCTGGTGGGTTCCTCCCATGCTCTGCCAGGAACATCTGAGCCTGGCTCCAACAGCCTTGGGGCCAAGGCTGAGCCGGGCAGGAGACCCAACTAAGGCATAAACACAGAGGAGAAGGAGGGGCAGCTCTGGGAGGGGCCTTCAAGGGCTGACTCCGGGTCCTGCCACCTGTCTGGCACCTGTGACAGGCCACACACCGCTAGTCCTCTCACAAGCCTAAACGTATGGCATCTCATCGAGTCTAAGAGGCGCAGTTCCCTATTTCTAAAAGTGGGCTGGGATCGCTGGCACGTCAAAGTGTAACGGTAACAAAAATAACAATTTTCAACCTCTACAGATGGCATCTTAGATTGAATTGAATAAGGTCTATGATCAACTAAGGTCAACCATGCCACACACATGCCTGTTACATGCAAGAACTATCAGGTGGGCAGCCTGCACACGACAAGCTACTCTGTACACAAACAGTGGCATACGTGCTTTACCAAACGCACAACATGGGAGACCCACTGCCTGTGAGGCACATTCCAGAAACCTATGTCATATCCCATGTCCCACCAATCACAACCCACCCCATAAGTAAATCTACCCACCCATGAACTAGGACTTGCATAATCTGTTACATACACAAATCACCCCACCGTTAGCTGACCCCAAACAATACCTTCTAGATACACGTCCCTCATATAAATGACTGGCCACCTCTAAGATCCACTGGCTCTGTGGTCTCAGGCAAGTTATTATTTCAAAGCCTCAGTTTCCCCTTCTGTAAAATGGGCCTAACTTGAAGTTTGTTGTGAAGATGACACACATCCGCCCCCACACCTACCCCCACCCCACCCTTAAAGGATAAACCATGGACCTTGAAATCAGAAAGACCTGGGTCAAAAGTCAGGCACTGCCAACTTCCCAAACTCTGTGACCTCAGGTTCCAGCTTTCTCAGCCCTCATTTTGGCATCAGACAGCTTGATACCTTTTCCGCGGGGACAGTACGAGCATTAAATGACCGCGCGTAAGCACAGAGTGCAACAGCAGTGATTACTGTCATCAGTGGCTGACTCCTTGACCTTGGCCACATAATCAGTTGGAATCGGGACCCCCTGCACAGGAGAACTCCAGGGACGGCTTGCCCAGGTCTGAACAAACCCTGGCCTCTAGGCCATCAACTCAGCAGTCCTTCTTTATCTCTGGCCCGGCCCCTGGGGCAGTCAGACCCCAGCTCAACATGCCCCAGTTCCCAGGGGACAACAGAGAGGTCTCAGAGCTCAGCTGGAGGTCCCACTCCTTTTTGTTGTAGATGGAGAAACAGGGGCCTCAGGAAGGGAAGGAGGGGTGTTTTGAGACCACTGTCCTGGGCAGCCGGGGGTCGGGGAGGGGCGGCAGTGGGCAGGGTGCTGAGGCCTCTGGCGCGGGTAGTGGTTAAGGGAGCCGCCGCTCTGGACCACAATATTTTTCTTTTAAATGACAATAATGGCTAATGTTTCTGGAGAGAATCTGTGCTAGGCCCAGTGCTAAGAACCTTCCACTCTTCTCTGTTTATCTGTCCCACTTTGTAGGTGACAAAACTGAGGCTCAAAGAGGGGAAGTCACTTGCCTAAGGCCATAATGATGTAACAGGAGGGGCTGTAACTGGAACCCAAGTCTGACTCCAGAGCTTGAGGGCTTTACCCCCTCCACGCTGCCTCCCTCCTGGATCCCTGGAAAGAACCCTGGAATTCTGGAGCGCTGGTGGCTAGTGGTTCCATTGTCACGTCACTGCCAGGGAGCTCAGGGAGCTGAGAAGTGAAGGAGCTTGTCCCGGGGCACGTGCAAGTGCAGAGGCATCCTCCAGACACCAGCCACCACGGGCCGCCTGGCGTCTTCACGTCCCCTGGGCGCTCGAGTCCCCACTATCTCCTGTCTCCCCTCCCCCGCCCACAACCCAGGGAGTGGTGCAGGGAACCCGGGACTTATCAAGACAGAGAACAAAAGTCGTGGGGGAAAGAAGCCAAGAGCCATCTCCACTCCTGGGTAGGGCCCTTCAGTTTTGCCCCTTTGAAATTTCAAATTCCAGTTTGTGGACAAAGTCCTAACTTTCTCACAATATAGGTCCCCAACAACTGACCAAACTCCAGTCCAGGCAGCCGGCAGGCCTAGGGCTGGTGTGGCCTTGCTGCTTCCTTTGGCAGCTCTCGAGGTCTAGGGGGAGGGGCCCTGGACCAGCTGGGGTCTGTCAGGTCATCCCTGCAGCCACAGCCCACCCCACAGGGACCCCTGCCTTCCACCAGAGAGGACAGCCCTCTTCCTGGAGCTGGGATCTGACACTGGCTGGTGCCGACAGCACGTACCAGGTAGGCCCCCTCCCTCCTCCGGGCATCTCTTCTCCCTCCTAGCACTCCTAAAACATGGCTCATCCCGCCCTCCTCGTCCTGGGTACAGGCCCTGTTGGCTTAATCCAATCACAGAACTTCAAGACTGGACAGGGTGTCCCAGCCAATCCACCCATTTGGCAGATGGAGACACCGAGGCCCCCAGGAGAGTGGCAGCCGGCTGTAGGCTGAACCTGGGACATAGACCCAGGGCCCCTCACGGAGCCCTGAGGAGGGAGGACACATGCTCCAGGCCATGCAGAGGCAGCAGGGGGAGCTTGGCCTTAACAAGAAGACCAGGAGCTTGGTGAGGCCCCCTTTGCTTCATCCCAGGCCTCGAGGGCCCTGGCAGTGCCTCCTACAGACCCCAGAGGGTGGAGTGTCTGTTCACTCAGTGACTGATGGCCACTCGCTGGGGTGCCACGGAAGTACTTCCGAGAGGAAGAGGAGGAAGCTCGGGGCTGAAGGCCAGTGGGTTTGGTAGGAAACATTTATGTGGTTAACTGATAACTCAGCCCCATCCTTGGGCCCCTGGAAGCCTCCTTCCTCCCTCTCCTCAGCATGATTAAGACGAACTTACCTGCCTGCTAATCATTGCTGAGCCTGTTGATTTTGCCTTAAAAAATTAACTGGGCATGAGTTTGCGGTTTGCCTCACCCCTAACCCTGCAAAGCAAAGGCCTGGGTGGGCAGGAGGCCGCCGGGTTATGCAAGAGGCCTTCAGCCACCCCACGCACAGCGAGCGCCTCCTCTGCTGCTCTCCAAAGGGTAGGTTTTGCTCAAGAGTCA